TGGAATTATTTACCAAACTACCATTTTTTTTAAACAAATATACCAAACTATCTCACTTTTAAATTTATTTACCAAATTATAACATTTTTAAAAAACAGAATCAATAATTTCGTTTTTATTAAAAAGCGAATCAACAATTCTGCTTTTGTTAAAAAAACGGGATAAATGATCACGTTTTGAATTTAAAAACGTGGTCCAAAATAATGAACTAAAACACGGTAAAAACGTGAGTACTAACCACACTTTGTAAAAAGGCGTGGTTAGTAATCACGCTGTTCACGTGTTTCAACTGGTGTGTTTCCTTCTGCATTTATAGTTGAAACTGGTCTGCTTCCTTCTCCATCTTTCCTCATTCTTTACCAAAACCCATCTCTAAAAACCCTCAAAATCTTTCAAAACCAACCATGATTTGATTGATCAACAACTCAGATCCCATTGGCACAGGTCCCATCTGAGCAGCAAAGGATTGTTCAGCTGTGCAGGCAACTAAATAAGCATGTTATTGTTGCCTCTCAGCTGCTTGAATCTATGATTGAATACCCTACACCCACTAGAGCCGAAGTTGCTGATGTTTCTGAAGTAGTCAGAGAACGAGCAGATGCTTTAATGCTCGTGAGTCAGCCATGGGCCAATTTCCTGAGAAGGCCTTAACTGTTTTAAGAAGTGTAAGTTTGAGAATTGAGAAGTGGTGGAGGGAACAGAAACGCCATGAAGTTATGGAACTCCCAGGCATAGCATCTACATTCACAGACAGAATCTCAGAAGATATCTGCAACTCTGCTGCCAAAATATGGGTAAGACAAGTCATCTCCATCGTCTCCAAATTCATCAATGCATTTGTGATTTTCGGCTCTCCTACTTTTCTAGCTAAAGGACGAGAAATAAATTGAAGTGAATCACAAAGAAAAAACAGAAAATTACCCACCTTTGCAGTCAATTTAACACAGTAAAATTTCATATCTCTCTAATTTTTGAACCAGTGAGCAACCCAGTTTTGTGTTAAAAGCGTGTTTAGTAAACACGCGTTAAAAAAAAAATTCGTGAACAGTGTGTTTACAAAACACGCTTTCGCATTGTCCAAAAAAAAAAATTTCTCGTAAAGGGGGTTGTCGAATCCGCTTCTAAAAAGTGTCGTAGATTAATAAATAAGTTCAAAATAGTCACAAATTGGTATTTAAGTTGTAAAACAACCATAGATTGGTAATAGATTCCATGTATTTTAATGTGTGGTGTAAACGATGAGAAGGGAATTGTATTGGAAATGATTTGGTGTATTGGAGACTTGTGCCACAGTGAGCCTATAGTGGAAAAAAAAAATTTGTTATAATTTGTAATATATGATGTGTTGCCTTGTTTTAAGAGTTTATTTGGTATTTTTGTTTTCAATAAATTTATTATTTTTTTAAAGAGAACTTGAGGACTAAGGAAAACATTATAGTATCATAGTTTATAGTTTGATTGGTTATATAGAAAAATTAGTTATTGGCCAAACCTGAAAGCACGGAGTAATAAAAAAAATTGTCAATCACAAATATATTTTTATCCACACTGAAAATCAAATCACAAATATAAATGAAAAAAAATGAATTCAAGCACCAACTATAGTGGGAGTGAGCGGTGGTAGTGAGAGACAGTAATGGTTATGGTGGACGACGACAACTGTGGTGATGGTGGTAGCCGTGGATGGCAACGGTGATGGTCGTGGTGGGCTTTGAGTGACGATTGTGGTAGTGACAACCATAGGTGACCGTAGTGATAGTGGTGGAGGGTGTGAATGGTGGTGGGCGACGATGATGGTGGTTGGCAGTGGTACTCATAAGACGATGACGATGGTGGGTTGTGGTCGTGGACGGTGGTGGGTTGTGGTGATGAGCGACGACAAGTACTTATGGGCGACGACATGTGTTTATGAGCAGCGATGGTTATGGGTGCTAGCGAATTGTGGTAATGGTGGTAGATGTAGTGGGGGATGACACTGGGTGGCGATGGTAATGGGCGATGATGGGTGGTGGTGGTAGGTATGGCGGGGATGGGTGATAATGGGTAGTGGCAGTGGTGGGAGACGACAGGTGGGGTGTGGGTTCTGGTAGTGAATGGTGGTGGGTAACGATAGTGATGAGGGGCAACGATGGTGGCGGGATGATGGTGATAGTGGTAATAAATATAAGAATGAGATAATCCTAATGGTGAGTGATGGCGATGGTGGTAGGGTAGTGGCGATGGTGGTGGTGATGGTGATTGTGATGGGGATAATGGTAGGGCGGTGGGGTTGATGGTGGTAGAGGTTGTGGTGGGGTGATAGCAATGGTGGTGGTTGTGGCAAAGGTAGTGATGGGGTGGCAGTGATGGTGGTAATGGTAGTGGGGGTGGGGGGTGGGGTTATAGTGATGGTGGTGAGGCGATTCTAAATACTACCTTTTTTTTATAGTACTTTTAAAAAATTATAAGTTCTAGAAATATTTTTAAAAAATCACCAAAAACACACACCCTTAAAGTACTTATTTTCCCTATTATTTTTAAGGAATTAATATTAGTCGTTTGACTAACTTTAATATAAAATTTAAAATGATCTCAAAAGCGAAAAGTAAAAGTCTTTTTTTTATCTTTTGAGATTTGAATTGTCTTACACTTTATTTTATAAACTATGGATAACCCGTGTTTGAAAATACAGTGCAATGTGAATAGTTTTGAGAGGTTTGTTTGTGACTGTTGGATATCAAGTATATTTGAAACCGTAAGATAGGCTTATTGAAACTTGTTATGTTTTATATTATAAATATTATAATATCATAGTTAGGCTTAGATGTTATGAAGAGTTAATTAAATTTTTTTCATATTTGCATAAATTAATATATCAACATTTAATTTTTTTAATATTTATGAATTTTTAATATCAATTAGAATCAATAAATTTAAATATATTCAAGGGCTGCCACATAGCAACATGTCAAAAAAATTCAACATCATCATTAATTTAGCATGTAATATTTTATACAAAGGAAACATCCAAATTTAACGAGACAAATTGCGACAACCCTATTATATTAAAGTCACTTTGCTATTTTTCAAGTCTTTTGAGTATTTTTTTTCCTTTTTCAACAAGGAACCAGTTAAAAGGCGGGTAAACCTTTAACATATATTTTTTATATGCATTTAATATTATAGTTAATAATTTAAATTATATATATATATTACTTATAAAATGTCAACATCTGCGAAAATTTTTTATTTATCATCTTATCCTTAATTATTATAATAAAGTCAATTATAACAACATATATAATTTTATATAATTTTATTTTTTATACCTATTTAACTTTTAACTTGCTTTTGACTCTTTTATATGGATTTTAAAATTTTTTTGAACTCATTTATTACTAGGACACTTAAATAAAATCAACTATATATATCTATATAAAGAAGTAAAGTCCTATACACTCAAATATATGTTATATATTTTTTGTATGTAATAATATGACAGTTTTGTAAGTTATTTAATAAACCTGTTTAATAAAATAAAAATTAATAATTCTATAATATATAAATAGATGTTAAAATGTTTAAAAAGAATAGAGAGATACATAAATAAATAACAGATTAGATACTAAAAAACATAGTATAAATAAATAATTAAATTTAGCAATATTTAAAATACGAACTAATTTTCGGCACCTAATTTATTATTTAATTTAATTACACATATAATTCACATTTTTTGTAAAAATAATATCATTTAAATTTATTTACTCGCGTCGTGTATTACTAATATTTATAAAAATATTAAAATATTTGTGATTAATCTAATCTTTATCTCTATTTTTAACTGTTGTAAGAGAGAAGACAGTAAAGCTTGAACACGCGACCTAATGGTCCAATGGCAGGCTGTGGTAACCATTACGTGTCAACCACTTACCCTCAAAACTTGAAATATTTAATAATAAAATACCACATTTTTCAAAACTTGTAATCTAATATTTATCCAATTTTATTTAATAATACAATATTCATTCAAAAAAAACCCTGTCCTAAAATATCATTTTTTATGTATGGTTCCTAAGATATGACTAACCAACTAACATACTCCAAAATATCAGATAATTCTACTAACTCACATGCATCTCTTTTTTCTACATCTCTTTTCTCTCTCCGTTGACTCTCTTTTATTTTTTCTTTATGCACTCTAATTTTAAATTACATAACTATAAAAAAGAAAGAAAAAATAATTTATTATTTAAAATATTTTGAGTAATGCCATTGGGATGATACTATTGCTAATATATGTATAAAATAGTTAAAAAAACATGTTTTACGGTTCATGATACCCAAAAAGTAGCCACACTAAATAGCAGTGATCTGATCAAGTAATTGGACCATCATGGAGTCATATGGCGAAGACCACCCAAGGAAAGAAACACAAGTTGACCCAGGACAATAAATGGAAAGGGGTGCCGGGAGAAGTAAAAATGCTTACATTCATTTTTAGTTCTTCTCAAGCTTCGAATAGAGTTTAGTAAAATCCATTTCATGAACTGCTGGCTTGTCAACCAGTAATCATCTAAACATCTTCATAGAAATGTGCCAAATTGTGGCATCAACACTCATAAGCCAATTCAACCACCTATATACCTACCATACCCATACACACGCCATGGGGGGGGGGGGGGGGGGGGGGGCAGTCACACACTGTGTATGTGTGTGTGTGTGTGTGAGAGAGAGAGAGAGATGAGAGAACATGTAAAGCCCAAGTTTAGCTACAAAAACAAAGAAGAACGAATAAAACTTGAAAGATCATAGCTTCATTGGTATATAAAGCAAATAGTAGCAAATTGCATAGTTTAGCTCACATCTACTGTAGGTCTTTTTCAATTAAGCCCTCTTCTCACTAAAAAAAAAAAAGGCTTCATTTATTGATTTTTTGGGTGGTGGAGTGATAGCTATGCGGCTTTGGGGGCGGTGAAGAGTGATGTATGGGATTTGGTCCACCAGGTACTTCTCTCAAGGATCCTCCGACACTCATGGCTGCCTTTAGTTTGGAGAAATCATACCCATATTCACGTAAAAGATTAGGACTTTCCTTACTTCCTCTTTGCATGGGAACACGCGCCAGTGAAGTCATGAGAAGCGTCCCAAAGACAACTAAGAACAAAAGCGAAATTCTCACGGCAGTTTTTGGATTAGCCATAGATGCTGCTAGAAAAATAGGAAATGGATCGATGAAGTAGTTTCTTATGAAGCAAATGCTCCTATATATAGGACTACTACATGCAAGTGGGATTACAAGAACTTGAGCTAGCAAAGATTACAACAATATAAAGCAATTACTCTCTGAAAGTTTTGTTTTACAAACAAACAAGCATCTTAATGGCCTCCAATTGCTTTAACGCCTACTTGTGGTGGTTTGCATTAATTGCAAAGTTTCTCTCTCTTAAAATATATATTGGGCGTAACAATTGAACCACGTTATAATGCGATCCGAGATAACAGAGCCAAAACTTTCCATACTCACCATGTATCAGGCTGGCATTGCCGTATGGTACTTCACACCAATTAAAGGAAGTCACTGCAGTAGTGTCAAAAAGATGTCAAGTCAGCAAAGTTAGCTAATTTCGTAATGACAGGTTCCCTTCCATTTCTATTTCATCCTACAAATCTTTTCTCTCTCTACTAGGAACCTCTCATGTCACTCTTATTTTTTTCTTGCTTTTTTATTCGTCTCATCTGCCCAGCTATGAAAGATTTAAGGTCGTTTAATAACGTTTTTATTTTTGTGTCTTTAAAAAAATAAAAAATAAAGATAATTTTTATCTTTGTCTTGTGATAAACACTAAAACAAAAAATATGTTTGTAAGTTATTTTTGCTATCAAATTATGAGAGTAAAAATAAAAAACATCTTTGATAACTATTTCAAATTTTATACTAAATATAAACAGTTGGGCTTTACAGCCCAAAAGAGTTGATTATCATCTTCAGGGGTCCTTGCTTAACAAAAAAAATCCATTTGTGACCCAATCACACATGGGCTTTCGAAACTCTATCGACTTTCATACAAACCCGATGATTTTCAATACGATACATCATTTATTTTTTAATGTTTGATACAATTTTTAATAGTATTAATCCATCAAAGATCATCAAACTCATTCAATCTACTTTTTTTTTTTTTTTTTTTTTACGAAAGAGAAATTTTATTCCAAAGAATCAAAACAATTACAAAAAGCAAAGAACAACAGTTCACAAGGAACATCACCAAAAAAGAAAAAACCCAAATAAGGCTTTAATCCTTTAAAACACTAACAAAATTTTATACAACAAGCCACCTTCTAATCCTCCTCCTACCAATGGGGAAACCTGCTTTGTCTTGAGCCAGGACTCTCTTTAACATCACAGGCAGAGAACTTTGAACAGAAAAATCTGAAGAAGACCCAAGCAGAACAGCTCCTTTGGCCAACCAGTCTGCAACACCATTCGCCTCCCTATAAATATGTATAATCTGGAAATTCAGCCCAGATAAATTCAGCCCAGATAATTCAGTACAAATTTCTTGCACCAAGCTAGTACCATAATCTCCAAGGACAGCATACCCTGCCTCGAACCATATTGACCAAGGAAAGCGAATCTGATTCAATTAGAATATGATATACTTCCAAACCCTAATGCTTGATCATTTTCAATCCATCCAATAAAAGCTCTCCCTTCAGCCATCATATTGGAACCCTCTCCATAAAAGAAAGATGCAGCCAACACCATACTAATGTGTCTCACAAACTTCTTTTATGATAACCTCTAATTAAATGTGTACATCAAATAACACTCACATAGAGTGTAGTACTCACTGAAATTTTTTTATTTCAAGAACTATGATATGGGCCACGACTTAAATTATTTTGTGGCTTCGCAAAGCCTTACGACCCAATCTATAATGATACACATGACTTGAAGATGACTCTTATATTTCCCAAACCACTCAATTGAATCGCAGGAGGCTTATGATTTATGCAGAAGAGGGAACAAGAGCAATGTTATGATGCGGTATATTTTTTACTATCAAATTTTAATCTTAACTGATGCGGTATAATTTTTATCATCAAATAATTAAATTTTATTATTATTCAAAAATGAAAATTGTGCTATATTATTTGAGATAAAAAATTTGATAATCATAATATTATCTTCTTCATTTATCTAATTACCCCAAAAAAAGGTAATTTCATATTTACAGATCATATTTCCTGTGTTTTTTTAGCTCAGTAATGCTCTTCTTACAAGCTCTTTTCACCAATTTATGGGACACCACCACAACCATCAACTGATTAGTGGCAACGATTCACATGGAATTCATGTAGAAAAGTTTATAAGTGAAGTAGCATATTAGTTTTTCATTTTTCAAGTTACAAAATATCAGGGAATCCAATCCCCTACACAACCGCAAATTATATACAAACACCTACCTAAACCACATAGAACTAAAATAATCAAAGTACAAAACTGTGGTCTGCCATCAAAAGAAAAATACAGATAAAGCAATAATGAAATCTACATACAAATATACAGATTTATGTATATTGTGGTGAAAAAAATACAGATAAAACAAAAAAAAATACAATTAGGGTCTGTAATGTACAGATCTATGTAGATTTATGCATTTATACACTGATCTATATATATATATATATATATATATATATATACAAGTAAAAGGGTTACACTTATCTTCACAGCGAAAGAGAGCTCGATAGAGGAGATTTTGAGGAATCAGGCGAGGTGCCTCTTTTTCTTCGTCGATCTGTGAGTTGTTGAGAGAGAGAAGAGAAGAGAGAGTTGTTGCTGAGAGAGAAGAGAGCTGCTGAGAGAGAGAAGAGGAGAGAGTTCACGAAAGGGGTGGCTGATTTGCTTCGTGAGTGACAAAAATGAAAAAAAAAAAGAGCCTTTATTTATAGTTCATCACATGAACTGGTATTTTGTAGCTAACAAGATTCGAGATTGAGACATCATTTAGTCCAATCCCGCGTACATTTTGTTTCCCGTGTTTTCTGAAACACAAATTTTTTCTTCTTATTTTTTTTGTTTTTGTTTTCTAAACAACTAATATAAAACAAAAATAAAAACAATACCCAATCATATTTTTGTTTTCATTTTTGACAAAAATTAAAAACAAAAATACAAAGTAGAAAACAAAAACAGTTATCAAACAATCTCTCAAATTTCACATTTTCGCCCCTAAATTTGAAATTGAACTGTCAATATAAATGCAAGAAATAATATACTGAAACCTTCACAACATATTTCTTTTATTTCTTCTTTCAGTGTAAATTTTATGGTGTTAGCACAGTGTATGGTGGCGCAGTTTTTGGGTTGCAATACTCTTCAAGCTTCAATGGCTGAATGGAAAAGAATACTAGAGTGTTCTGTTCTGTTCTTCACACGCGGTGGCAGGCACTCTCTTTGCTTTCCTTCTCTGCGTCCTCCTCTCATTTAGCGGTGAACTTGTTTAAAAAAAAAACATGTGTGAGAGCTCATGGGATCAAAGATTCTTTAAAGAATGTTGTTTAGCTCATGATTTTTTAACTCCCTTTGGTTGTTGCCAAGAGGATGTAACCGGGCAAATTTCTGGCAAGAAGATTGAATAACCGGAGAAGAGTTGAGTTGAAACCGCCATTTCGAGACGTATTGGAGTGCCCGTGTGCTCTGTCAGTTTGTCATGGTCATGTGTCTGAATGTGTGGTGTAAAAGATGAGAATGGAATTGTATTGGAAATGATTTGGTGTATTGGAGACTTGTGCAACAGTATGCCTGTAGTGGGAAAAAAATTATTTCTTGTTATAATTTGTAATAAATGATGTGTTGCCTTGTTTTAAAAGTTTATTTGGTATTTTTGTATTCAATAAATATATTTTTTTTATTTTAAAGAGTAAACTTGAGGACTAGGGAAAACTTTATAGTATCATAGTTAATAGTTAATAGTTTGACTGATTATATAGAAAAATTAGTTATTGCCCGTGCTTGAAGGTATGAAGTAATAAAAAAAAATTTAAACATAAACATATTTGTATTCACACTCAAAATCAAATCACAAATATAGAGGAGGAAAAAAAAGAATTTAAGTACTGATTGTAGTGGAGGTGAGTGGTGGTAGTGGGGGTTGGGCAACAATGGTGATGGTGGGATACGGTGATGGTTGTGGTGGGCAACGACGATCGTTGTGATGGTGGTAGCCGTGGATGGCAACCGTGATGGTGCTGGCGGGTTTCGAGTGACAATTATGGTAGTTGCAGCCATGGTTGACGACAGTGGTGGTGGTGGTGGTAGGTGTGGGTGGTAGTGATGGGTGTCGGTGATGGTGGTTGATAGTGGTGGGGGTGGGGGTGACGATAGTGGAAGGTTGTGGTGGTGGTCAACGACAGTGGTGCTGGTTAGTGTGAGTGGTGTTAGGCAACGATGAGTGCTTGTGGGCAGCGGTGATAGTGGGTGAGAGTGAATTGCGGTGATGGTAAGGGGTGGGTGGCAATGGTGGTGGGCGATAACAAGTGGTTGTGGTGGCTGTGGGTGATAATGGGTGGCAACGATGATGGGCGACGATGGGTGGTGATGGATTATGTTAGTGGGTGGTGGTAGACAACGATGGTGATGACGAACGACGATGGTGGTGGGATGATGGTGATAATAATAATAAATATAATAATGAGATGATCATGGTGGTGGTGGGTGGTGGTGATGGTGGTAGGGTGGTGCTACTGGTGATGATAATGAAGAGGTGGTGCTAGTGATAGTGATGGGGGGCAGTGTCAATAGTGGTGGCAGCATGGCGACTGTGGTGGTAGTGGTGATGATGGTGGGGTGGTGGGGTGGTGGTGGGGCGATGGGGGTGGTGGTGGCAGGACGGTTCCAAATACTACTTTTTTTTAAAAAAAATACTTTTGAGAAGTAATAGATTCTAGAAGTACTTTTGAAAAGTTATCCCAAACACACCATTAGAGTGTCTATTTTCCTATTAAATTTGGAGTTAATATTAACCGTTGGATTAACTTTAAAGTAAAATTTAAAACGATCTCAACCGCGAAAAGTAAAAATTATTTTTTTATCTTTTGAGATTTGAATTGTCTTCTACTTTATTATATAGACTAGTAATTATTTGTGCATGAAAGCACTATGTAACCAAAAAAAAAAGTTCTAATTAAAAGGCATACAAATTATAAAACCACTACAAAAAAATATATGAAGCAT